GTAAAAGTGCCTTTTAATTTTGATTTCTGATTGTTCCTGTTTATATAAATACAATTTATTTTTTATGTATTGAATAAAACTATTTATTTGATTCTAATGGTTTGATCCTACATTATTTTAAATTTTCTACCTACACAGTCATGTCAACTGCAAATAAGGAGCCTTTTCCTTCCTTTCTATCCTTATACTTTTCTTTTTTCTCTTGCCTTACTGCACTGGCTATACTGCTGGATATATTATAGGCCTTACTGCCCTATAATCCAGCATTGAATACAAATGATGATAAAAGGCATCCTTTTAAACTTTCACTATTTCTCCATTAAGGTGTGATGCTTGTTGTAGCTTTTATTATAGAAGCCCTTTGTCACATTAAGGACATATTCTTCTATTCCTAGTTTGCTAAGAGTTTTTACCAGGAATGAGTTGGGTGATGAATTTTATCAAATGCTTTTTTTGTATATACTTAGATAATTATATAATTTTCATCTTTTATTCTTTTAATGTGGTGAATTGCATTGGTGTTTCAATGTGACATCAACCTTGTATTTCTGTAACAGATACAATTTGGTCATCATGCATTATCCTTTTTATGTGTTGCTAAATTTGGTTTTTGATATTTTCTTTAGGATTTTACACTTGTGTTCATTAGTGAGATTGGCCCCTACCTTTCCTCCTAAAAACAGGAAGTTTTTTCTCTTTGTTCTGTGGAAGAGTTTTTATACAGTTGGTGTGATATATTTTTTGAATATGTGAAATATCATCTAGGAAACCATCCTTAGTTTAGAGTTTTCAGCCTTTCTTTTACTATAATAATGCATGTTCAGGCTACAAATTTCCCTCCTAAAGTATGGTTATAGCTGCAACACTTACGTTTTGCTCTATTTTATTTTTATAATTTATTTCAAAATATTTTGTTTTAATTTCCTCTTGAACACGAGAAATTCTAAATTCTAAACATGGGAATTTTTGTAGTTACTTATATATATTTTTTACTATGATCAGAAAGTATGATTTCAGTCCTTTTGATTTTTATCAACCAATTAATGTACATATTCCATGCCTGCTTAAAAAGAATGGGTTTGCAGTTGTTAATGGCGGTGTATTTACGAGGGTCGCTGTGGCAAAGTACCACAATCTGGGTGACTTAAGCAACAGAAATTTATTCGCCCACAATTCTGAAGGCTAAATTAAGTCAAAAATCGAGGTGTTGGCAGGGCCATGTTCCCGTTCAAGCCAGTAGGAGAGAATTTCCTTGCCTATTTTAGCTTCTGTTGTCAGCAGTCCTCGAGTTGTTGGCTTACAGATACATAACTCTAGTCACTTCCTCTGTTGTAATATTGTCTTCTCTGTGTGTCTTTGTCTTCACAAGGCAGTTTCCTTTCTGTTTTCTCTACTCCTGTAGGGATACCAATCATATTAGATTAAGGCTCTATCATACTCCACTATGACCTCATCTTAACTAATTACATTTGCAATGGCTCTGTTTCCGAATAAGGTCACATTCAGAGGTGTGAGCATTTGGGACTTCAGCATATCTTTTTGGGGCACACAATTCAGTTAGGTCAAGTTTGTTAGTCATATTTAAATTTGTTTTTGTTTCATGATTTTTTTGTCTGCTCATTCTGTAATTGAGAGAGGGTTATAAAAACCACCCACTGTGATTATGGGTCTATTTTTATTTCTCCTTTGGTTCTGTCAGTTTTTGCTTTTTATATTTTGAGGTTATATATTAGGTGCATAGAAATCTAGAATTGTTATATTTTTCTGGTGAAGTATACCTTTTATCATTATACTGTCATTCTAGCTCTATCATGCATTCTTGCCTTAAAGTGTACTGTACTTCCTCTGATGTTAACATAAGCTTATAAACTGTCTTTTGGTTAGTTTGCATATTATATATTTTTCCACTTTGTAACTTTTACTTTTCCTATATCTTAGCCGTAAGATGAGACCAATATATGGTTAGGTTCTGTTGTTGTTGTTCTTGTTGCTGTTGTTTTTGTTGAAAGTCTGTTCTTTGAGTGTTTGGTCAGCTTGCATTTAATGTACTTCTTGATTTGCTTAGAATCTCTCATCTTGCCATTTGCTTTCCATTCCTTGTTCTTTTGCCCTGTTCTCTTTTCTGACCTTTAGAGAGATGATTACTTGGCCCCTTTCTCTTCTTTTAGCTGTGTTAGCTGTAGAGTCTTTACTATTCTTTTAGTGATTACCTTGTAGACTCCAACTTTCATTCTTAACTTATTGAAGTCTAATATTAATGCATTTCTAAACAGTGTAAGAACCTTTGTACACTTTATTTCTTCCAATTTCCATAGTGTCTTGGTATTACCATATGTTTTATCTTTTTTTTTTATAAGTAGGCTCCACACCCAGCATGGAGCCCAATGCGAGGCTCGAACTCATGACTCTGAGATCGAGACCTGAGCTGAGATCAAGAGTCGGACACTTAACTGGCTGAGCCACCCAGTTACACCCTGGTATTTCCAAAGTTTTAAACTTGTATATTTTAACCCCCACATACCTAATTATAATAGTTTTTTGTTCATATACATTTGTATTCATTTACCATTTACATATTTACCATTTCCTTTGCTCTTCATTTCCTGTTACATCTCCAAGTTTCCACTATGATTATATTCTGCCCAAAGAACATTCATTTGTATTTCCTTTGGTGTGGATATGCTTATGACAGATTACTTCAGTTTTGTTTACCTGAATATGTCTTTGATTCACCCGCCTTTTGAAAGGATATATATATATATATATATATATATTTAGATCAGCAGTTATTTTCCTTCAGTCCTTTGAAGTTATAATTCCACTCACTGTCTTCTGGTTTCCATTGTTTCTGCCAAGAAGTCAGCTGTAATTTACTTATTGTTCCTTTGAACATAAATTCTCATCACCCCTGTAGGGAGTTTTAATGTTTTCTCATTATCTGTGATTGTGATTGTTGGGAGTGTCACTATGATGGGCTTACATACTATTTTCTTGTTTTTTTATGTTAATTGAGACTTTTCACCACTTCTAAAATCTGTGGATCAATGTTATTCACTTGTTGTAGAAAGTTCTAAGTTATTCTGTTTTCAAATACTGCTTTTGTCTCATTTTTTTCTTCCTTTTTATATGGTACTCCAGTTACACCTATGTTAGACCTCTTTACTATATTCCATGTATCTATTATGTTCTTTCTGCATTTTCCACTTTTTTTTTTAAGATCTTATTTATTTATTTGACAGAGAGATACACAGTGAGAGAGGGAACACAAGTAGGGGGAGTGGGAGAGGGAGAAGCAGGCTTCCCGCTAAGCAGGGAGCTGGATGCGGGGCTCGATCCCAGGACCCTGGGACCATGACCTGAGCTGAAGGCAGACGCTTAACCATCTGAGCCACCCAGGCGCCCCAGCATTTTCCACTTTTTTATATGTTTAGTCTGTGTATTTTCTTCAGGCCTTTTGTCTGGTTCATTTTTTTTTTTTTTAAATCTGTGTCTAACATGCTGATAAAACCATTTATTTGGATTTATTTCTTAGTTCTAGAATTTCATTTGACTCTTTTATGATTTACATTTTTCCTTAAAAAATTTTAGTCTTTTATTTCTTTGAGCACATTAGGCATAGTTATTTTAATATCCAGTTCTGAAAACTTTATCTAAGTTCCCTGTAGATCAGTTACTGTTGACTGTTGTTTCTGTTGGTTTTAGGTCACATTGTTTTATCTTTGTATGACTGGTTATTTTTTATTGAATGTCAGATATTGTCTATGAAAAATATATGGACAGTTTGAAAGCTAGTATGCTGTTATGTTTATTTCAGGGAAGATTTATTTTGCTTCAGAAAGATGGCCAAGGGACTGGCAATCACAGATTGCCTTATTAATCCAGGCAGGGATTGGTAAGAGTTAAAGTTGAATTTAGTCTCTTTTAAAGTTGGTCTATTTCTAGTTCAGTTTTATTCAGGTTCCAGGCATGCCTTATCACTAGCTCCTCAGTTCTGATTTTGTCCTTTTATCCTCAGAAATTTGTCTCTTGTTATCTTCCGTTGACTGTCAGATCCCTGTTCAGAATTGGTCAGTCCTTCTAGGGGAAACACACCTCCAAAAGATGTGAAAACTATTTTGGGTTTCCTTCTTATCTGAGATCATGGTGCCGTAATTCTTCACTGTCTTCCTTGGTCCTTCTCAGTGCTTTTTGATAAGTACTTTTGCTTTTTAATAATTACCTGCATTTTCTAATTCTCACCAGGAGGGTTGATTGAGGTTACCTAATTTCATTATGTACATATCAAGAAAATATTGTGACTATTTTTTCTACTGAGTTAAAATCTTTAAGATGGCTATTTAAAAATCTGTAGTTCTATGTGGATCATCAAACATTTTCATTTGTTCATACTTTTTTGCACAATATCTTAGCATAGGGTTGGATGTACATCCCTACCAGAAAGCTTTAAGGGATATAAAGATAACCACTAAAATGTATGGATGTCCAAAGTTGTACTATATATGGTTATATTAGGCTTCAAGTAGATAAAGTTTAGCTGTTAATAAGCAACATTTTTTTTAAGCTTAGTATTATTTTGGCCATCTATCTCTTTTTATGACAGAAGGAAAGGATATTTGATATTTTTCAAATTTGTTTAGATTCTTTGGGCTGTCTGCTTATCAGAAATTGGGCAATCTTATTTGTTTTTAAAGTCCTTTATTTTATTAGTACTTCTTGGAAAAACCAACTAATAAGGACTTAATTGGTATAGAAAGATTTTTTTTTGATTATGTATTAACTCATACTTTTCATTCATATATCAAAGTACTGTTCTCTTTGTTCATCTTTGCCGAGATTCAGAAATGATAATTATTTGTCACTTGTTTCTTTTGTTCTTTAAGTTTATTTTCCTATTTACTGATCAGAAGGTTTTTAAAGTTATCAAGGATTCCATGCACTTCCAAGATTAGGGATAACATCAATCTAAAGACTCAATTCTTTTCTGTCTTCACTGCTTACAGACAGGGAACACAATCTCTTCAGCCTGGACCTATGTAGAAGAATTTGGAGAAAATAAACAGGTAAGAAAAAGTCTTTTAGGAATATTAAGTGATATATTTAGTTTTCAGAAAGCCAGTTATAAATTATTCTTCTTATGGTTATAAGAAGAAATATTTAAAATTGTCTAAAGAAGCTTGTGAAATATTTGATTATAATAGCTTTGTTAATCATAGATTCATTAAGCAAAGTTCTAAAAAATTAAACTGGTTTCCATATTTCAGGTTCTTCTCAAAGCTTATAACATACTAGTGTATGTTGTGAACCACCGCAGATGGCAAACAGTATTTTAATGTAGATGTTGGAGTGAGTGTGTTATATGTAGATTATTCAGCATTTCTCAAGCTTATCTGAAAATTTCTTATCTGTTTTTTTGAACAAATAAAACCACAGTTATTGTTGATACAATTTAGAATAAAAGTTATTTACCAGGATTCACTCTAGTTTTTCCAACATGGTACTGAGAGGATAAGTTTTAGTAGAATGTTAAAGGTAGTTTATAGTTTGAATAAAGATTACTTTCATTCAAATTCCTTTTCACGTGTTGAGGCAAAAAGAAATGTTGTGGTTCCCTGGGTAGAATCCATGTTTTAGTTCTGTATTCTTAAGGAAGCTAAAACTTCATCTTTCTGTGCCTCAATTTCCTTGTTGTTAAAGAGGAAAATAATACTATTTGTTTTGTAAGGCTTTTATAAAGGATTAAGTAGTGCTGATGTTGTATAGTTATTTTTGGCACTTAATAAGTACTCAATAAATATTAACTCATTAATAGAGCTCATACTTCAGATACAAGGAAATGTATTTATTATGCTTGAGGCTTATAACTTTATTTTGTAGATCTTAATCTTAACATAAAAATTCGAATATATGATGCTATTCTCAGAAATACCTTTTCTTATAAGATTCTATAGTTCAAATTTTGAATTATGAGGACTAATTTTACTAATAGAAATGAAACTTGAAAGAGTTGCTATCTTTCCTAAGACCTTTATCTTCTCTTCACTTTTGCCCAGATAATTTTTCTAATGAGCTGCAATTTTTGAGTCATACTGAAGCTTAGATAAACTGTAGCACTCAGATCGTAATTTTCCTCTCTTATAGGTTGCCTTTCTATTAATCTCTTCCAAATGGTTTAGAAACTATCTTTAAAAGGAATTTGACATAATCTATTAAACAACGGTAGCAAACTGGAAGCTCTAGATATGGTCTGTTTGGTCTTTTTGTTTTTTTGAAAGGAAACCAACTAGATTTAATTTCAGTACAAATAGCTAGACACCTGTTTTACATTTGGTCCTCTTTGAGTTCTTTTTTCATTTGTTTGTTACATCTTAGCCTCTGAGGGCACTTGAATTTGTAATCACTGTGTTTAACATAGTTCAAGAATATTTCTGTTTTGTTTTTAATGTTTCCCTATTACGTATTAGCCCCATTAAAATTCTTCCCAAAGTGATTTGCAAAGTTTGTCAGTGAAATAACTGTTCCTTAGGTCAAACGAGTTTGGGAAAAGTTGTGTACTATATACTGCCCTAGGAAAAATCATAATGCTTATTAGCATATTGAAAATCATTGTAGTAGCAACCTGTGTAAGTGTTAAATCCGGTTTTACTAGATTTTTTTCAAGATTTTATTTGACTAAGGAATTCTTGTTTTGAGGTACTTGAATCGTACGGGGATATAGGTTCGGAAACACTGAAACTAACTCAAACACTTGGGTTGGTTTGTTTGTTTGTTTGTTTATTTATTTATTTGACAGAGAGAGATAGCAAGAGAGGGAACACAAGCAGGGGAGGGTTGGAGGGAGAAGCAGGCTTCCCGCCGAGCAGGGAGCCCAATGCAGGGCTCGATCCCAGGACTCTGGGATCATGACCTGAGCTGAAGGCAGACGCTTAACAGACTGAGCCACCCAGGCGCCCCTCAAACACTTGGGTTTTGTTTATAACCTTATTGAAGTATAATTGAAATACAATAAAGTACACACAAAGTGTACACTTTGGTCAGTTGGGTTTATATATACATCTGTGAAATGATACCACAATCAAGAAAACAAATATTTCTGTCACCTCTGCAGTAACCTGTTCCTCCTCCTCTCTTCTTTTCCAGGCAACCACCGATCTGATTGCTATTACTATAGATTAGTTTGCTTTTCCTAGACTTTCAAACCTTTGTTTTTGAAAGCTTAAATTACAATCTTTAGATAACTTAGAATGAAACAGTAGTAAATTCTTAAAAATAAAAGTACAGGTATCTGACAATTACATTTATGAAAATTGTTATATACTGTCAAAGTTTCACAGTAAGAATTTGAAACTCAAATCACTCTTTCAAAGTTATATAGAAAATATATTGTAAATTTAGAAAATACTTTAATTAAAAACAAAAGCAGATGATTTTTTCCCCAAAACTGAATCTGAAAAATATAATTACTCTAGTAAAAACAGAGAACTAACCAACTAGAACTTTATAAAAAAGGAGTTAGAGATAATAACTTTCATTCTTATCCAAGCCACCATTACTTAGATTAACATACCTCCTAAAAATCATCTTAAAACAGAAAAACTGACCTAAGCTATTCTGTGAGCCTAGTCTTAAGAAGAAAACATTGGTCATTTCATGTCTGCTTCTTGCTCTTTGCTATCAGTTGCCTATAGCAAAAATTAAGTAGAGGGTAAAAATACCTTGTTTTGGTCAAAATTTAATTTAATTTTGTAATAGGGAAAGTAAAGGAGATAAAAATGCCAGTAAATTTGATAGTAACTAATTTGTTGTAGCCAAAAATATCACTTAAAAATTTCTAATTAATGATTTTTAAATATGTCATAGGTTATGAGTTGTTTAATAATTAGCAATTTTGAAAATTCCTTCCTCTGCTTTACCGTTAGTTCTTGACAATTCTTTACTAGTATGGAAAGTATAAAATAAATGATAAATGTCATTTATAATATAGATTTTTTAAATCTCTCTTTGAACCCAGCCATGTTTTATGTTCTGTGTGTATACAATGCTGTGTTAACAAGTGTTAACACTTTGGCAGATGGAGTTCAGTGAAAGAAAGTTACTGAGTTATTTCAGTTGTGGCCTGTTTGAATGTTAGAAATTGAAATAATAAAATGGCGAAATGATATTTTTTCAAAAATTTTAATAAAGATCCTATAGAAATCTAAAGAAGTACTTAACATATGTATTAAAGGTATAGAATATGTATTACAGGTAAGGGAAATGTATTTCATAGATGAGAATATCAGGGGCTTCATTCTTATACACTGCTTTTGGGAGGGGAAAACAGTATAGCTGTCTTATAGTCGCCTCAAAAAGTTAAACATAAAACTACCTTATGACCCAGCATGTCAATTTCTAGGTATTTACTCCAGAGAATTGGAAGCATATGTCCACATGAAATTTTGTACACAGTACTCCTTAGCAGCATTATTCCTAACAGCCAACAGGTAGAAACAACCTAAATGTCCATTGACTGATGAGTGTATAAACAAAATGTGGTGTTTTCATGCAAGGGATCTAAAGAGGAATGAAGTTCTGATATATACTACAACATGGGTAAACCTTGAAAACAAATGCTAAGGAACTAGTTAAAAAAGACAACATAAATTGTATGATTCCATTTATATCAAAAATCCAGAACAGGCAAATCAATAGAAACAGAAAAATTAGTGGTTGCTGGACCTGGGGGAGAGGGAGGGGAGTGACTGCTAATAGGTACAGAGTTTCTGTTTAGGGTGATGAAAATGTTCTGGATAGTGGTACTGTTTGCACAACTTTGTGCATCTATTAAAAACCACTGAATTGTACACTTAAGCGTACATCAAAAAGAGGGAGAGGACGTGAAGGTAGAGCTGAAATAGTTAAGGAGAAGAAGAAAAATAGTTAACAAGAATTATGAGGAATGTACTTATTAATGGAAAATTAATAAGTACGGTCAGAATCAAACCAGAAGAAAAAGATACCAAAATAAGCATAAGAAGACACTTTGAATTCAATTTAAAGTCTCCATTAAGGGTTTCCTCCCTCTTCACATGAAGCAGAAAAGCAGTTTGAGAATCCATGGTTTTTGACCAAGATGTGTAGGAGAATTAGAAACAAACAAATGAGACACAAATGGAGTAAAGCAGTGTATATCCATTGCTTAGATGTTCACCGAGGAGCATCCTGGTGGTGTTTATCTCTTGTGTCAGACAGAGAAAGGTGGTAGACCGAATTATCACTTACAAAAGTGGGACTGACAAACAGGTGGTGAATGTGCTGCCAGTCTCTGCCCTCACTCCCAGGTCAGTGGCCCAACAGTTACTCTGCTCGTCCTAGCCACAGCTTCTGAATCCTTGGGAATCTGGGGTCCTTTGAGCCATTACTGCTTGATGAGAATTGGCACTTAAGGTTAAGCCTATTTGCTGAATAGACCAAAGTTATTCTCTGAAAATGTTTGTATGTTTTCATTCATGTTATAAATATGAAATTCTATACGATTTGATCAAAATGCTATCTCTAATCATTACATTAGAGCAAGTCGTTTTATTATTAGTAGTATTTTTTTTTTTTTTTGCAAAAGGGCTTTTCTTCAAGTGGCATTCTTAGATAATATTGAGCGTATAAAACGGGAATGCAGAGCTGTGTGGGTCGAAATGGAAAATGTGGGGGTGGGTAGGTGCAAGCAGCAGCCAGATAGCTTAGAGCACCATCTATTGTATTTCTACTCTCTGTCTGTAGCAACATCTTGAGACACTTTCCTCAACCCAGTTTTGAGAAGATTGCCAGAGTGCAAAAGCTTGGTCAAGTAGAAATAATACTTTCCTAGGAATTAGGAGACCTAATTTTTAATTCATTTTTCTTCATTTAACTGTGAGAGTATCCAGCAGTCACTTAATCAACCATCTTTTGTCTGTGTCATTCTTTAGTGAAAGAGGTGGTTGGAATTAGAGACTTATGAGGACCAACCTATCCCTGGTTTATGATTTTGAATTAGAGAATTTGATTAGTTAAAAATTTTATTAATATCAACAATAAAAAGTAAAACCAATAAAAATGAGCAAAAGGCTTGAATACATACTTTACTAAAGAACATGTTCAAATGGGCGACTAAACACATTATTAGTCATGAGAGAAATCCAAATTAAAACCAAGATGAGATACCATTTCACATCACTGGAATAGGTATGATTCAAAACACTGGCAATACTGAATGTTGGTGAGGATGTGCAACAGCCAGAACTCTGATAGTTTACTGGTGTGGATGTAGGATGGTCACACTGGGGAACTGTTGAGCAGTATCTGTCTGCCCTATGACCCAGCAGTTTCACTCCTAGTTATTTACCCAAAAGAAATGAAAACATATCAAAACAAAAAAAGACTTGTATAAGAATGTTCGTAACAGCTTTATTCATAATAGTCAAAAGTTAGAAACAACTAACACATTTATCTGTCAACAGAAATCTAATTACCCAGATTTTTTCTGAACATATTTAGATTCTTATAATAAAATTTATTTTTGAAATGCTTGTAAAATCTTATGAACATTGAAGCTTTTCATTTCCTAACCTTTGTAGTACTAGGGGGAAATTGTTTTCTCTTGATTTATCCTGTGTGAATGAGGTCATCAAAGTCAACTTTTAATTTTGTATTTTAATTTAGTTTCCTTAGAAATGTGAGAAGACGACAATTGATTAGTGTATTTTTAAATTAAAGGTTTACAGTAGGAGACTATTTAAAATGCCCATTTTCAGACCTAAGTACTATGCCAGTAGCCAATTGTCTGGCTATCTTCTTTGTGAAATCATTCCCTGAAGATATATATCTCTTTTATCTACATTTCAGTGAACAGGCTGCATTAACTGTCACATGGATATAAACCCAAAATGAAAGTGATTTCTCTGAAAACTACATTTTCCCCACCTACAGAAGTGTAACTAAAGATCTGCTCCTCTGAATCATATAGTCTATGACCACATTGTTAAAAATTGAAAGAGCTAGTTGTATCATAGATACATGTCTAATAAGGAATTGACTGTATTTGTGTAATATTCTTTAAGAGGAGAGAATCAGAACTTTTTTTTTTAAGCAATTAATTTGAATTATAGGAGCACTAAGGTTTCTGTTAATACTAAATACCATACCCTTTAGGCATAGTGGATCCTTTAAGAGAAGAAAAACAATTCAGGCACCTGGGTGGCTCAGTTGGTTAAGCAACTGCCTTCAGCTCAGGTCATGATCCTGGAGTCCCTGGATCGAGTCCCGCGTCGGGCTCCCTGCTCGGCGGGGAGTCTGCTTCTCCCTCTGACCCTTCCCCCCTCTCATGTGCTCTCTCTCGTTCTCTCTCTCTCAAATAAATAAATAAAATCTTTAAAAAAAAAAAAAAGAAAAACAATTCTGTGATAATCTATTTATCCTACTTTGGATATTAGAAAAGCAAATGGTATCAAAGTAATTCCTTATCCAATTTCAAAATACTGAAAATATTTTGAACTGGATATCTTAAATGTATTTGTCTTCTTGGAACAGACTGCTTTTATTGATTTTATGGTACCATTAATAAAAATAAAAAGATTATAGAATTAATCAAGTTAGAGTTTTGCAGTGCTAGAAATTAAACCTATATTTAACTGATTTTTATTTTTTCCATTTTTTTTCTTAACTAGGTCCTTACTGATGTTGCTTGAACTTATTCTCCTGCAGTTGATCTCATTCCTGTTGGCTAAATATTAAGTCCCATGACAACATTAAGTTAATGCTCATATGTTTTAGGCCTCATCTATAAAACCAGGAAAATATAGAAAAAACTTGACTTGTACATTAGATTACCTAATTCCTTTTCTTCCATTCCTAAAAACACCATAACTTTTATAAATAGTCATTTTATAGTCATTGTTAGACCCTTGGCTTATTCTACCCTAAAGAACATAGTTGAGTTTTTGGAAAGTACAGGATTTACAAATTTGGTCTTTAATATTCATACACACATATAAACATTACAATTAATGAAGCAGGAAATTATTGGTGCATAAGATGAATGTTTATTGTGAAATAGTAATATTTCGAATATAACTGGTTTTTAAAAAAATAATTTGGTTTTAATTTTTGGATTTTTCTATACTGTAAGTTGATAATGGTTTCTTGAAGTTTATTTTATAAACATGATTCATTTTACTGTTTTATGGTACAAATAGGAACACTAATGTTAAATTGGTGTATTGAGTATACAGATGTTAAATTAAATAAATTAAATAATGAAATATTGGACAGTTAGTTTACACCAAATGTTTTTGCAGTCCAGGGGAGGATGTTTCTGCTGGTTTAATGCCTAATACAGTTAAAAAAAATAAGCAAATATGAATTCGCTGTTTTTTATCTTTTCTTCATGGACTACGCCTTAGCATCAGAACCAAATTTAAAAGGAGCTGCATTGTGGAACAAGAGAAATCAGAGGTTCTCTTTTTTCTGTGATCAAAAACACACAAAACAATTAATAGATATGCAAGTAAAAGATATCCAAGAATGCATTCTAGTAAGATCTCTGAAGTGTTGTATCAGTGAAAGGAACAGGACTGACTGATAAAATTATCAGGATTTGCAATGCTGTGAATGTTGAAATAGTCTTTACCAGCGAGATAATATTAGCAGGATTTTGAATGTTAGAACATTATGTTAAACTGTGATTATAGTTTTAATGCTTTGTCTCTTTGAATTAAATTTGTATCCATAAAGATGTGCAGCATAATTGTTCATGTATTTATTTACAGACTACAATTTCCGTCGCAGCTCAATAAATAGTCTTTCCCCTGTTAGTACTACTCTCTCTTCTGGGACTCCCAGCGTGCTTCCTTATACTTCAAGGCCTTATTCTTATCCAAGCTATCCCTTGTCACCAACAATATCACTTGCTAATGGCAGCCATGTTGGACAGCGACTATATATCTCCAATCAGGCCTCATTCTTCTGAAGAAGATATTGTAAACATGAGTATGCAAGTTTCTTTGTAAAGCATGCAGATTAAAATACTGTTTTATTTTAGAATCGGTTTGCACATTTAGTTTTAAAATGATAAATATATATTTATTTCAACGTAGTAAACATCAACCATAATTCAGAAGAACCTACAGTTGTAGAACTTGTAAAAATGCTAAGTTTAAAAAGTTATTCAGTGGTTTCTCTTGATAAAGGTATAGCAAACTACTCTTTTTAAACTTTTGGGATTTTAAATACTTCTAATTCCTGAGAGGGCAGTAGAACCCAATAGTTTATGTTAAATTTTTGCATAATAACTTTGCCAAATAGCATTTCACAAATATTTAAGCACTTGCAGACGATCGTTATACTAGATTTGATTACCAAGGATCACTTAACTGTATTAGAGATTATAACAGTTACATAACCAGAAGCATCTAACTATTATGTATAAAGAAATGAAGGGCAAAAAGATTAAGATACAAATTTTATGCAGTACTAAAGGAAAAGCAGTCTACCATTGTGGTCCTTGAAAATAACTATAAATATTTTAGTTAATTATTTGTTATAGAAATAAATTTTAATTTTGCTGTTAATGTATTTCAGGTTTTTATAGTTATGCTTCTTTTGTGTTTTTGATATTCACTGTATAGTTGTTTGAATAATAAGTGTTCTGGTTTTTTAATGTTGAAATCATGTGTTGTTTAATTTTTGTACTTGAATTCAAATTCTTTGACATTAAATATGTGATGCTTCTAATATGCATGTGTTTTATTTTTGTTTATTAGTATGCACAAAAATGTTAGCTCTCACAGTCACCTTGACCTCTTCAGAGGCCATGGTCCTCTGGTCATGGTCCATGGGACCAAAGCAAAGCATACTGCAGACAAAAAATTGTTAGTTTTGTGAAACATAGTAACCAAAATCCTTTTCAGGAGCCAATAGAAATACTTTGTTGATGAAGCCAGTGAAGTTTCCTTCTTTTATTTATGAATACTTAGTGAATCCAGCCATTTTGACTGTTTAATGGTTTGGTAATGTACATTTATGATGAATTTCTAATGATGGTTTACATAATTGATAATCAGGGACAAAAATTTTTCCACTCTTAGATACCAGATGTTAACTTTGTTGATTAACTCATTATGTAGCAGCATAATAGGACATGGGATTTGCATACGTAGAATATGAAATGGTTGCAAATATTTCTTCTAGCTTAAGTTTCTAGCAGAAGTTGTATGGAGAATAAATTACAGTTGACCCTTGAACAACACAGGTTTGAACTGGGCGGATTCATTTATACAAGGATTTTTTTATACTGCTCAGTAGTGTAAATCTATTTTCCTTATGATTTTCTTAATAAACATATTCTTTTCTCTAGCTTTATTGTAAGAATACAGTATATAATACATATAGCATACAAAATATGTGTTAATAGACTGTTTATGTCACTGGTAAGGCTTCAGATCAACAGACTCTTAGTAGTTAAGTTTTGGGGGAGTCTAAGGTTATATGTGGATTTTTGACTATGTGGGGATTGGTGCAGGGGGGGGGAGTTGGTGCCCCCAGCCTCTGTGTTTGTTGTTCACGGGTCAACTGTAGTCTCATTTTTTTTCACCCTCTAGAATGATCATTCCATATAACCATATGCAGTACTTAACTTTCCAGGTTACTGCCTTAGATTTTCTAATTTAAATGAGCATAGATACTATACTTAACCAAAATTAATTTTTTTTCCTGACATAGATTGTGTAGATCTTGCAGTTTAATTACCATGATTTACAGGTTCATGTCACTCCTTTGGCAAACACACAGAGTGTTTAGTAGTCACTACTGTGCTAATACCCTTCGGATATGGAGGTGACTCAGATTCCAAACCAAAAGAAAACACATTAATATAGTTTTTCATAGGAATGTTTGTAATGGCCCAAATAATCATAATTACAAGTTCCCACATAGCATTTTTCATTAAAAAACAAAGCCACAAACAATTGAGAGCGCTTACCAGCCACACAGTGTATTTGGAGATCCATAGTAATATGGAAAATATGTAAGCTTTGGCTATCATATTGGATTACCACTTCTGCCAAGAAACAGTTCTTTGAACTTAAAGACAGTTTTTGATCTGTCGGGGCCATACTTTTCCATCTGTAAAATGGTGATGTTAAAAATACCTGGCAAGTAGAAGGCACTCAAATGGTAGCTGATGTTATTTGGATATAACTATATAAATCATACACTATTCATTTATTTGTACCAGTGTTTCATCTCTTCTCCCTTCAAGCAGAAATCTAGAAATCAGTACATTCATGTCAAACACTGTCCCTTTATATATTATAAATGAGCAATTAATTTTGTTCATACTGCACATGAAATTTCATTTGGCTTGTGAACATAGCTGGTAATTACTTGATGCTTTAGTCCTTACAGGCTGTATAAGGCCTTTGATTCAAATACGGGCTTCCCTAGTTAGTTCATCACAAAACTATTATGGATAAGCCTCTTAGCTATTTGATATAGCTCATTGGTCAAGGAAACAATTCTTAAGACAGTCCTTTATCAAATTCTCTCTGCAGCTTTGTGCAAGAGACCATGGCTGAGATGTGGAGTAGGTCCTATTATGTAGTGATGATCTATTTTTTTAAAAGATTTTATTTATTCATGAGAGACAGAGAGAGGCAGAGGGAGAAGGAGGCTCCCTGCGGAGCATGGGGCCCGATGTGGGACTCGATCCCAGGACCCTGGGATCATGACCTGAGCCGAAGGCAGATGCTTAACCGACTGAGCCACCTAGGCGTCCCCGTGATGATCTATTTTGCATAAAACCCCTTGTAAACAGATCAGAAGGCTATGCAGAAAGCTTACCCTCATTTCTCTAGTTTAGTTCTTTTATAGTGTTACAGTGGGAAAGAGTTCTCTAAGTATGACTTAAAATCTTGTAGCCATTATAGATTGTTAGCCATTATTGTTAGCCATTATGGGTTGTTAAGTCCAATTTGAAAAGAAAAGTGTGCATGGCAAGAAAATACCATATGTCAAAAGACAAATGATAAACTTGAACAAGAATTGCAAGTTATTTTTACAAAGGGCTAATCTCTAATATTTTAAAATATCAGTAAAAGACCATCCACTCGGGGGGCATCTAGGTGGCTTAGTCAGTTAAGCATCTGACTCTCGATTTCTGCTCAGGTCATGAGCTCAAGGTTGTGGGGTCTAGCCCCATGTTAGGCTGTGTGCTCAGAGTCTGCTTGTCCCTCTCCCTCCACTTATGCTCACTCTCTCTCTTAAATAAAAATCTTTAAAAGAAATACCATCCACTCAAGAGAAAAATGGATAAAATAGGCAGATAACAGATGGCCCTTAAATGTGTAAAAAGATGCCTTATCTCAGAAGTGCAAACTAAAAGTTCAGATTTGAAGAAATTCAAAGGTTTGATAAAGTTTTGGTAAGATTTTAAAGAAACAAGCATTCTCATATATTACCGCTGGGATTATAAATTGGTATAATTCACACAAAGAGCAATTTGGCAGCTATTGTCAAAAATTACAAATACTTCAATCTTTTGACCCTGCAATCCTAATTCTGGAATATACTTGCATGTGTGTGCAAAATGATATATTTTGGTGATTCATTGAAACATTTTTTATAGCCCAAATGCCCATCATTAGGGGACTGATTAAAATAATACATTTATTGGTGCATATTAAGAAGTACAAAAAGAGACACTCTTTATTCCTATATAGAAAGAGATAATTTTAAGTGGAAAAGAGCAAGGTTCAGAAGTATGTGTGTAATATGCTGTATTTTGGAATAAGAGGAAGAAGACTTGTGCTTATATTTGCACACCAACCAGTGCAAGACTATACAAAAAATTAAGTGATTATGAGAAAGCAGATAAGATCACACTTTAAAATTTCCCTTTACTCCAGACACAGTGTGATTATCTATCTATCTATCTATCTATCTATCTATCTATCTATCTATCTATCTATCATCTATGTGTGTCTAATCTATCAACTATATTTTTTTTAAGTAAAAAGACATGTAACTTTTCAGAAACAAAATGAAGATCTCTAGTGAACCATAGTCTGAACACAAGTACATTAAGAAAATCTACACTGATCACTGATCACTGACTGACCAGAAGTTAGGTTTTGAGTAGGGATCCAGGGTAAAATACGCCCAGGTGGTAAATACAATGCAACAATACAAGCAGCTGTGCACGTCACTGCTTTTGACTCAATGGGTCCAGTGTACTTGAAATATGTCACTATGAAGCATTTATAATCTCTAATAGGAAAAACATACTGAAGAAGACCCTAAGATTTGGAACAAAGCCAGGTTCTCTGAAACAATTTGCCTTTCTGAGAAACAGCTCTTAGCTGTTAGAGACTATTATGAACTGGGTTATTACTTGATCACCAAATTCATAAAGCTGAACTTGTCCAGTAGCACTGCTGTCAAGCAGAAATGGTGTATGGCAGTCTAAAGTATTCTTCTTGCTATGGTGCCGTCCCTTACTCAATCTCTTGTGCCATGGAATGTTTCTAAAATCGGTTGGCCAAGAGGAAAAAAAAAATGGGAACCTAGTATTCTAAGGATAATGGAAGTCACCCAAATCCAAATCTCTTTACACATCCTCTAGAAACTATCCAGAACAATAACAAAAGCAAGTAAGACCACATATGATCCACACCTTCAGCATAACGAGAGAACAATACAATTTGCAAAATAGCTGTAAGTAAAAATAAATACGGGCATTGAATTCCAGGAGAGTTATTTTTTGAGCTCTTGATGCAACCCTTTGTGGAGAGCAAGAGGTGTGCTGAGGGGGTCTGGAAAACTACAGAGAAAAGAAAACGAGTAGAGGGCCGAAGGGTGAGCCAACAAGGAAGTCCACCCCAACAGTGAAAATACTAAAAATAAATAAATAAAAATAAGTAAATTCTGGTTTGTACAAGCAGCCTTGGAAAGGCAATGTTTCTGGGGACAGGTGGGTTCTTCTTTTGTTTGATATGTCATAAGTATAGGTGATAAGGTAAGTCAGACCAACATAAAGTTTTTGGTTTTTTTTTAAGATTTTATTTATTTATTTGACAGAGACAGAAATAGCGAGAGCAGGAACACAAGCCCCGGGAGTGGGAGAGGGAGAGCAGGCTTCCCGCCGAGGAGGGAGCCCGATGCGGGGCTCGATCCCAGGACCCTGGGACCATGACCTGAGCTGAAGGCAGACGCTTAACGAC